AAATGATAATAGTGGGGCGTGAGTACTAATCAACTGTACTCCGTAAAAACCCATACTAAAGTAAACAGCAATAATAATATCAATATCATGATCTTTGGTATGTATCCAAGCTTAATCTTTCAGTATCTAACCGATACTTTAACTTGAACTTTGCAACTACCGGTAACTTGGGCCGGTTCTCACGTGATCACATTCTGGGGGTCGCCTCCCACAGAACCCAGTCTTGACTGAGCGAGCTTAATACTTTACTTAACTTTATACATACCTCGAACATGATAATAGCTATTATACTCAATGTAATACCCAGTCTGGGTCCCCACCTTTCTTTCTTGAAAACTTTTGAAAACTGTAAGTGTTGTACTGGTAGCTGTATCTACAACTACATAAAAATATAAACAAATTTACTAAGTACTATGCTCATAGTATTCTCAATAGTACTTTCGGATTCTTAACTTTAATTGATAACTTATCCGAATCTTAAAGATAATTTCGGCTATAGCTCAAATGAACATTAATTCATTGAACATCTTAAATTCTTAAACTTTTACTTAATACCGAACAAGGAAATAAATAGCTCGCTAAAGTTACCGCTATTTGAGAAATAACTTTTTTTGGCAGCGTGCCGCTATTTGTATTTATGTGCAATTTAGCCGCTAAATCCCGCTAAATCTCCGCTATAGCTACAGTGCCATAAACGTTTTAGCCCGCTATTTAAAACCTTGATACCGAACTTAAACCATATGAATCATGATTTTGAAACTTAGATGATGGTATAAACTCATATACCATTTAAATAACTTGAAAGTGAAAATAACTAAATTCCACATACACAAATTCATGATTCAAACCTTATCTTAAACTTACATATAAATAAAAATGGTAACTTAAAACTCATCAAAACCATATTATAATATCAATATACTATTCTTGAAACAATTCATAGAATTGTCTTCTTAACACATTCAACTAAAACTCAATCAATACTCATATAAATCATGTCTTTAAAATCATTAACTTATTCTCATATAACTTATAAGTGAAAAATAACTCAACATATTCAACTTATTCCAACATCAAATACATGATTTGTAAATTATTAAACTTGTCTTGAACTTGGTAATGAAAAGTATAACTTAATTCTCATATCATCCTAACATCAAATCATAACACTTAATTCATGATATTACTAAGCAAAACTTAAAACAATTTATATAAAATTGTATTCTCAACATATTAAACTAAAACTTGATCACTTTACTCATCACTTAATAGTATGAGAAATTTCATTTCATTTAATCTTGAAACTTTACCATGAAATACATAATATATGCCATCTAATCATAGCAACACATTCAGTTCTCAACTTAATATCATGAAATTCACTTTGCATGCTAACTTCAAAATCTTTATCTCAAATTATAACATGTCAAATAACTTAATCCTTGTTCATAAATACTCTTCATCTACACAAGACTTACTCATTATTACTATAAGAATTTACATTCTAACATGTAATGAAGGTGATAACATGTAAATTCTATTCATTCTCAACATAAACTCAATCCAATAATATGCTCAATCTATATCTCAACTTAAAACAACTTAATTCTTATTCTCATTATTACACATAACTTAAACTCATTGCATTCATAAACTCCATTATAATTTCAACTTCATATTTATCAACATATATGCTAATAACTACTTAACTCATATAAAACATGAAGTTAAGATAAATAATTACCTCCTTCTTGAAAACTTGAACTTGAAAACATGCTAGAACTTGAACTTGAAAACTTTGATTCTTCACTTCAAAATTACCTCACTTTACTATCATTTCTACCACTCAAACTCTCAAATAAACTTATATAACATTGTAATATTTCTTTGGTGTGAAAATTCAGATTTGGAAGCCCTCTATTTATAGGCAAATTTTAGAATAAAATACTTTGAAGTGAAGAAATTAATAAATTAAACAATTTAAACTTGTAAAAATTAATCACTTTAAATATATCCTTACCTAACATTATAACATCAGCTTTTCTTAATTAAATGCTCAAAATTAACTTTAGTTGCCACCAAAAACGAGTTAATGACAATCTGATCATTTCTGTCGGTCACACGACTCGTGTGACTTGTCACACGACTCGTGTGACTTGTCACACGACTCGTGTGACTTGGTCACACGACTCGTGTGAGAAAGCCGAACTTATGTTAAATGATGCTTTGAGTCACACGACTCGTGTGACTTGTCACACGACTCGTGTGACCTCACACGACTCGTGTGGCTACCCACACGACCCGTATGACTTAAAAATTTCAATTTCTTAACTTATTTACCCTCAAAATATCTCGATTTTGAAGATAAACTGATACTTATTACTAATAACTAAATGGGATATTACATGACCCGGCCAAACCGCACCACACCCACGCGCACACCAGAATCACGACACTACCACACTGTCGCCTCTGGAGGAAATGACCTTCACAGCCCAAAGAAGGCCGAATAAGGGGAAACCAAAGTATAGTTCACCACCTCGACAGTCGACCCAAAATCACCGGACCTTCCAGACCTCGAGCTCCCACCATGACAAACCGAAAAGGTCAAAATCCACATGAGAGAGATCCAAAAGCAGCCAGAGCAACGTCGATGGCCCTAGATAAA